AGATTGATTTGCGAAAAACTTAAATAACTGGGGAGCGAAACAGTCTAGTGTACATAAATATTTTTTAATGAAAATGTTATAAAAAAATTTCATTTACTCACCCACAAATTTGTATGTTGATAGCTCTTTGTCGTTTGACAGTTCCATACTGAGAATACACATTTTTATTTACCACTCATATGCATACTACACTAGCATCTATATTTTCAGATGTGAATTTTTGCCCATCACGTACGTACATATGTACAAATATGTATGTGTACATATCATCATGCACTTATTGCTAGTATGCTTTTGAAATTGCAGTCCTTCATATTAATTTGCATTTAAATTCGAAAATCATATCTCAACACGCTTAATGCAAATTGTGCAACTCTTTTGTTTTCTTAGTTGATTGCTGTTGTATTTTCATTTCCCAACACTTTTTATTTAACACGCCATAAAGTTATATGGCTGTGCACCTAGAAGTATACAATAGTGAAATAAAGACATTAATAAGTATCTCACCGCAATTATTGTGGATTTATTTACGTGTAATATAATAATAACATATGTGCTTACACAATATGTTAGTGTTTGGCCGAGCTTGTACTCCGATTTGTGGCGTGCGCCTTGATGTTGTCACACAAATGGGGAGGGACCTACAGTTTTACGCCGACTCCGAATGGCGAGTGTATTTTTATGAGAAGCCTGCCGAGGTGCGACCGCTGCTTTGACCAAGAAATGCACCCAGGCTCTGCGGAGTGGTTAGAGCGCACTGCTAACCACTACACCACAGCGGCCGCAATATACATAAGCATTCATTTTATATACAAACTATCCATAGCCAATTAGCTGAGAAACCAAGCAAATGCAAAGCGTTCTTGTTTTCTTCTGCTTTTAAGTAAGTTAATGGTGTGAAAATAATTAAAATACATTTGTGCATTGTACATTTAATCAATAAAAAGTATCTGGTTACATTACTAAATTGGTCTCTTACAATTTCTCGTATTGTTTTCTGAGCTAGCTCTCCTTTCCATAAATTACCCCAACTCCAAGGTGGAACAGCGTATACCGATGGCTGCATAGGCCAGGATGGTGCAATCTTCCTTATACAGACTCCAGTTTCAGTCACACTTGCCGTGCAAGTGGATTACCGCGGTGTACTTTTCCTATTTTCCATAACTTGTAGGTACAAAATTAAATTATCCAGACTCCAGTTTCAATCATACTTGCCGTGCAAGTGGATTACAAGTGGATTACCGCGGTGTACTTTTCCTATTTTCCATAACTTGTAGGTACAAAATTAAAAGGAGCCAAACAAAAACTTCAAAGAATGAGCCTCATGATGCTCCAATCTAATAATTCCCAGGCCAAGCCAGCACGGCAGAGGTCATATTCTTGTTGGGCGCTGTAACCACGATTTTGGCCGAGTTCAACAACGCACAACAGTCGCTTCTCTTCTGTGCCAACTGCAAGCAAAATCCCGGAAATCTTGCGCAGAATCTTTCTCTCATACACTGCAATAGTCGCCTCATTAGATGTTTTAATTGTCCGTGTCTACGCGCCATACACCATCAGCAGTGTTGCCGTTGAGAATTTTCAGAAAGTCGCAAAAAAGGGGTCATTGACGAAAAAAAATAAATAAATTTGTCAAATTTAGAAGAAAACAGCGGGACACGCTTTGCATAAAACAGGGTTGAAAACATACACATAAATGTAGTTGCTGCAAGGAGAAGGGTTGCATTTTTAAGTGATGAATTTTTAGCACTTACAGGAGGAAATATTTTTTATTAGCATTGTTCTTTTAACATTTCCTAAAAAATCTCTGAAAAGGGGCAAAAGTCGCACATAATTTTGGAAAAGGGTAAAAACAAATCAAATTGCCCCTTTAGTCGCACAACGGCAACACTGCGTGTCATACCCGTGCTATTATCTATCTATCTGTGATCAACCGAATGAGCCAGGGGTCCTCCTGAATGCGAACTCAAGATCACTCCTCTAAAGACTCCACTATAGCTCTCAGGCAAAAAATGCCAAACTTGATATGGTCTTAAAAAAAATTCCGCCCCCATATACATATGCTATTGCACTGTTGAATCATTTAATAGCAAGATTATTATACCCGAGCGCACTTGTGCACAAGGGTATATTAATTTTGTTCACATAACGGTTGTTTGTAACAGCCAAAACGAATCGAGATAGATATAGACAAATGTATACATAAATGATCAGGATGAAAAAAGAAATCGATTAAGCCATGTCTGTCTGTCCGTCCGTCTGTCCGTCTGTCCGTCTGTCCGTCTGTCCGTGTACACGATAACTCGAGCAAAAATTGAGATATCTCAACGAAATTTGGTATGTAGGTTTCCCTTAATCCAAGGTAGGTTGGTATTGAAAATGGGCGAAATCGGACTTTAACCACGCCCACTTCCCATATAACGGTAATTTCCAGAAATACGAAAACTGCGATATTTTAGTAACTACTGAAGATAATTCACTCAAAATTGATATTTACAATAATTTTTAGACGAAAAATAAGAATATTATAAATTTTTGGAAAATGGGCGTAGCCACGCCCACTTATGGTTACATGTGTATATCTTGGTAACCGCTGCACCAATTTCTTCCAAACTTGGCACAGTTGTTGGCCTTGGTACAGCATAAAAAACCGCCGAAACTTTTTAAAATCGGACAATAACCACGCCCACATCCCATATAACGGTAATTTAGAGAAATACAAAATCTTCGATAAATCAGTAAATATTGAAGCTAATTTATTCAAAATTGATGCTTGCAACAATTCTTTACCAAGAAATACGTTTATGGTAAAATTTTGGAAAATGGGCGTGGCACCGCCCACTTATGATCACATATAAGTATATCGGTAACCGTTCTACCAATTTGTACCAAACTCGGTGTGGTTATTGTGCTTGCCACATATAAGCAAAACGTTGAAAATTATTGAAATCGGACTAAAATAACGGCCGCTTCTCATATAACGGTAAATTTCAGAAATGCTTGAAACTTCAATATTTCGAAATTGAAGGACGCTAATTTACTCAAAATTGATACACCCCGGCTTACCATCTAGCGGAAGGTTTCGGAAAGGTGAAAAAACATATTTAATACTTGCGCCGGGTATTTAAAGTTCGGCTCCGCCCGAACTTAGACTTTCTTACTTGTTATTACAAACTTTTATTATGTTTCACCTGTGTGTCATCAAATCTTGAAATAAATTTTTAACCAACTTCCCTATGAACTAAATCCACTAGGTGAACTAATACACTAGGAGGCGCTGGTGTTGTGATATTTGAAAAAGCCGGCATTTATGGACCGATATGGTTTATGTTTAGAACGTACAACAAATTTAGCTTTTAGGGTGGTGGATTTTTTTATTAACCACTAATAACAGATTGTCTTTAAAAAATTGCTTTTAAATTAATTGTTAGTAGATAATTTCAAAATCATTATTTTACGATTTTTATTTATTCAATCAGAAATAATCGTTAAATTTGGGTTTTTCTCTTTTCGGTCGTTTTTAAAGGAAACTGGTTTTTTATGACCGTATCAAATCTTTTATTATCTAAAAAATAAATCTGAAAACAAAGGTTAGGCACGGCATGATATAAAAAGATCATAACCTTTACGGTCCTTGCTTTATATGGGTTCAAGAGAGTTGTATAGAATTTCCGGACAGATCTGGAATACCCCCGCGACACTTAAAATTACAAAGTTAAATCTACAACCGAATGAAAGCACTGGATACCGGCCCGTCGGTGTTAATGCCGAAAGAATTCTCGCAAAATATTTCATTGTGCATGGTTTATCTATATTTGGTATATTGAAACGCCTGAAATTGTGCAAGAGGCTGTTGATTTGCAAGAGTGGGTGGATAAAAAAAATAATAAAAATACAATTCTCCGTCAGTTATACGTATGTATGTATGTATGTAAGAGTGCTTATCGAAAAACTGTAAACGTATAAAAATTTAATTATTTGCAAATAAGCTTATGTTAATCACTTAATCCAATCGGGCACAGGACAGTCGTAGATAGAAATGCTGAAAAGTATGGACACCAGATAAAAGTGGATATAAGTTGTTGTCATACCATTGCAAAATGGTTAACAGAATTTCCTAGGTGTCTTCCTTCACCATTTCCCTCTGCTTTCTGCCTTAATACTCGTAAAAGCAATTTTCGTTGCATACCGACAGTGTGTTCCATTAACATGTTGCAACATGGCTTCCACTCTTCTATCCGTAATTACGCAATTGCTTTTTTTACCACAAAGTACATATTTTTTATTGTTTGCCACCCGCCATCAATGCTGAAGCTTGTCGTGCCCTTTAGCGCAGCTTAAGTTAAATGCATTTTCGACTGAAAATGAATGTCAATGGCAGCGATTGCAAATACGTACTTTTGCTTTAATCTGCCAACACTTTTGAGTATATAAAGCGGATATAAATTATATAATTCAGGGACCAAAAATAATTGTTATCTCGAATTTACAAATTGAAAACGTTGCCCGAATTCTGAAATTTAACGAAAACGTTGCTTCATAACAGTTATTAGATGAAAAATATTTTTTATTTCGCCGATAAGAGTTATAACCCAAGGTTTATTTTTTACGTTGTTTGATAACAGTTATTGCCCAACTTTTATTTTTTACGCTGTCTGATAAACGTTGTAACATAAGAATAATGACGAAAATGGAGATAGAGACGAAGATAAAGATGATGAAAATAAAGGCGAAGGAGTGAAATAACTGTTATCAAACAACTTAAAAATATACGTTGGGTCATAACTGTTATCAAGCAACATAAAAGATAAACGTTGAGCAATAACAGTTATCAGGCAACGTAAAAAGTAAACGGCGAAATAAAAAATATTTCTCTCTATTAACTGTTGTGGAACAACGTTTTTCCGATAAAACTTATACCTAATTGTTATTTCCCTGATATAATTTTGTATTTAAGTAATTATCTTCACATACTTATTTGTACTTTTCTACTTTTCCAGGTTATGCGCCGCCTGCGCGTCTACGACAAAACTCCGTATTCGTTGGTCCGAGCCCCAATCTGTTTATGATGCCACGACCGCCACGCAAAACGCGCTCCGCCATGGATTTGCATTCGATGGTGTTGGACGAAGCGGCGGAGCAAGTGTAAATGGAGAATATGCTCATTTTGAAAATGAGGTGTTGTGTTGACTATTTAATGCAAGTAACTATTGTTCGAAATGCACACTTGTACTTATTGCCAATTCTAAAGTATCTAACATATAAAATATGATGGAAAAAAATGAATGATTCTTTGCTCACTATCTCTACACAAGCTATAAATATTTTATAACAAAAAGCTGTAAGTTCAAACACTGTACTTTAAACTTGACTCCCTAAAAATTGTTTGCTCTTGCACTTGTTAATCTTTGCAAGTCATTATAATCTACAAATCAACATTTATATACATATGTCTTTATATTTGTAGGTATATTTAGAATTTTTCCTCTTCTACTAGGTATCAGAACTACTTACTAATATACTGTATGATCAGTTGATTTTTCTAAAAATATATACTTACACGGAATAAGTGCTTCAAAACCTCATCCAATTTTTAATCTAGTTCTTAAACATAATTTAAATGTACCTTAAGTAGTTGAGTGTTTTATACATTTTATATGCATAAATATGTATTTAAAATTTGAAACATAATCTCTAGTTATTCTGAAAACTACATAAACATTAAAAAATGTTGTATGAGCAAATCCTAAGATCAACTTACATATTTAGTATAGTAGTAAACAAAAAGGTAACGATGTAGTCCTTTTTTTGATTTTTATTTTTTCGATCAAATATAATCGTGCTTATTATTGTGGCGTACTTGGACTTACATATATTTTTCATTTTGAACTTTGTTTGGATCTCGATTTTATCGTTCAAATTTAATTGTTATTTTGTGTTTTTATTTTTTTTTTCGACCACAAATATGGCGTATTTGAATTCATATAAATAATTTTTAACCATTTCGAAGCTTTCACGATTTAAAAAATCTCAAGATACAATTATATGATCAAAAACATAAAACAACCGTTAAACTTGATCGTAAAATTATAAGTTCCATTTTAACGTTAAAATAATGATTTTTATTTTAAAGATCCCAACCGCTATAACTTTTCAAGACTTGAATAAAAAATTTGGAATACACAAAGGGCACATATTTTCGAATATACCCTTTATGTTTACAATATCGGCTTTGAGTTAAAGCCCAATCAGTGGTGCAATACCATAGCCATAATCATAACCATATGTAGTCGTAGCAATTATCTGTTCAATTATTACGACGGGCAAAACAAACAAATTTTGATTGTTATATCAAACCTCCGTCCCCAACTTAAAGAAATATCTGAGTGCGCCCCTGACTTAGTGCTACACCCAATGCAGCACGTTACACCTTGTTGCATCTCTTGCAGGCGGACCTATCGACCAAGGACATAGCGTTCAAAACAGACGCCATGTTCAATGCTACGGGGCAGTTTTTGCGCAAGTCCTTCGAAGTCACTAGTCGAAGTTTTGCGCGAGGGCATGAGGAGTGCTGGCTCGGTGGATGTCTACACAGGTGCGTCGTAAATGGAAAAAGGCGAAAAGGGTGGCAGTCTGCCCGGACCTCGGTCTCAACAATTCCTATAATCTCACAGATCACTGCAGCGTTTTCCAGGCAGAGGGCGGCGTAGCTACTAAAGAGCAACGCAACAAATAAACAGGCAAATTTCTGTATCGACAGTCGGGCTGCGATAAATGGGGTTGTTGTCGATTGCACTTCATCAATAAGTGTGGCAGAGTGTAGGACAGATTTAGAGCTGTACTCAGTTCCGGGAACACGTAGCAGCATTAGAGCAAAAACATTAAGCTGCGTGTATTTTGTTGTTGATTTTTTTATATAAAGCGCATGAATTTTCTCCTATCCTTCAAAAGGGAAGACTCTAGGTTACAGCTTGGTGTTGTAACGAGATATAGCCTGCTGGCATCGTACGCCTTAAAACTGGCTCTCTCTCTCCTCTGCGAGTATCCTGCCCTTAATGGACTGCAGGCTAGCCTCCAAAATAGTGGCAACAAGGACTTCCAGTTTACCAACGGCACTGCTATGTTCTTCACTATTGCTCGTGGTACTCAGTGATTGCTGTGGTCTCTGTGGAGCCACGTAACCTGATCTAACCTGCTCCTGACTATTTTTTATTAAAATTAGGACAGGTGAATTTTTAACGCCCACTTTGTCACTAGCATTTTTGTCATTTAATGTCCAGTGGAAATCCGGCATACATACCTTGAAAATTTGAGGACATTAGACAATTTTTAAATTATATGAAATATGCATATACTTATGTGAGTTTTTGTGATGTAAATCAGTTTCAAATATCTGCAACGTAAGTTTAGTGTTAAAAATTACAAAAAGTCTTCTAGAATAAAATCAATTTCTTACGCAAAAATTGAGTAATAAATATTTTTGAAATTGATCGAATAGTTGATGCTTTTTCGCTTTGGAAAACTTCATATTTTTTAATACCTATTCGTTTGGTGAAAAAAATAGAGTTTGTTACTAAAAGTTTGAATATGAAGAAAAAGCTGCAAATATACAAATATTGGAGAAGGAAGAAGTATGTACTTAACAACAAAAAAGTGAACTCTGTTGAAAAGTTTTAAAAACTGTCAGAACTCCAATACAAAATTAGCTTTGCACTGTAAATTAAGAAACACTATTTCATTGCAATGCATTTACGCTAATTTGAAAAACTTGAAATGTGGTTAAGTATAGAAAAATTGTGTTTTCATATAATAAATTATGTAACTGAAAACTTGAAAATCGGAAAAGCTTTAAAACAAATAGTTATTACAATTGTAAAAAAAAAACACATTACACTTGTAAGAAACATAATTTAGTGAGTGTATGTATGTAGAGCTAGAGCAAAAGGGAAATATCAAGCAACATAAGCAAGGGTTAAACAACAACAAATTATGATAAGAATAATTTTAGACAAACTGTAAGCAAAAACAATTTTATGCAAGCAGGAGAGATGAAAAATATACATATTTCTTAAATATTTTTTCTCACTTTTACATTAAACTTTAAAGTATGTATGTATGTAATATTACATAAACAAGTAGAAACACAACTAACCGAACGAAATACTACACTTATTTTTAAAGTACATTGCATAATTTGGTACCAGTATGCATACCTTTTAATCTAAACTAAATATTTAAACATGTAGCATAGCATAGCGTTGATCGTAGATATTTTCTACCTGAAGTTGCGTTACCAAAAAAATGTTTGTTAGTAGTTTTTAGCTCAAAAATGTTCCGAGAGTTTTGGAAAACATTTATACATATTTATATATAGAGAATATAGAGAAAAAACACATCCCAATACATATATATATGTACCAACTAGCAGTGAAGTGGCCAATTAGTTAAGTATACATGTAGCAGGAGATTAGTAATAGATTACTTCAAAAAAAAGAAAGAGCTCTTTTGGTTTCTCGACTATTTACTTCTATTGTATTCTTCAACAACAAAAAAAAAAACAAAAAAACTTTACAACAAGTTTTGGTTTCACCCATGAAACCAAAACGAGAGCAATGGCAAAAAAGCTTTATGGAAATGTGTGAAAACATAAAAACTAAATATACGTCGAATGTAAGCAAAACGTACTCCGGAGACGTTAACAGGCATTGAAGTTAGCGTATATACTAAATAGTGCAGTAAGTAACAAATTATATAATATCGTAAGAAAATATATATGTATGTATAATAAAAAGTAAAGTTTTAAATCGTAGTATTTACATATGTAAAATGAAATATAACTACATACATTGAAACTACAGCATCGGTCATATCTATAGCACGCCATTATAAAGCGATATTGCCACTTATGTTAATTTATTTTTTTGAAGAATTTACAATTAAAAACCCATATAAAAATAATTGTTTTCTGTTTGTTGTTCTTTATACAAATAAATTGATTTTATTCGTTATATGGAAGCAAATGCGACAAAAAATTCGAGAAAATAAATCAACGGTAGTTTTTAGCCACTAGGAACTTGCACATTATCTCACTAAAATTGAAAGGGCTATAACGCTCTATGCTAAAAAAAAATCTAACACTTCTGAGAAAACTGTTTGAAATTTAGTTGAACAGTTTTGCATTTTTATTAGTTTCCTACAAAGTTGTATCTGGGTTTTGTTAGGGAATGAACTGTATTTTAATTGAAAGTTCTTAAAAATAAATAAACATAAGCGGCACACAATAGCACTTTGAAATGGCATACTATAGATATGAGCGATACCGTACATACATTAATAAACTTCAAATATTTTTAATACTCTTATAAAATACAAAATACAAGCATTTTAAAGCGTTTCAAGTATTTGTAAAAGGCGTGTTTTTTTTTTTTATTAATTCCTATTTCATCCATACATAAATACGTATCGTCGTCATCATTTCAAATACCTTAAGTGACATTTCTGCTTTCTTTTAAGAGAAGCGTTAAACCTTTTAAATCTTTGTATAAATAAAATGCTTCAGAAAATTCCCAAACAAAGCAAGTCCCACGTTTTCTGCTTCAATGTGGAATATATACCTACAAACTAGTTCAGTACTTCCAATAAAATGTCACTTAGCGCCTTTAGTAATCATGTTGACGATATGCATACAAATAAGTACTTATAATTTTGTTGTAAGCAATTTTATAATGAAGAATTTTATTTTTTAATATAAAATAAAACTGTACTATGAAAAAGTATTTATCCATATATAAATATGTACTTGAATGTATAGCAACAAAATATTATACTAACTATATAGAGTAAAGTTGAGAAATAAAGTTTATTATTACAAATGTTATTTCCATATTCTTTCATACCAAATTGAAGTAAGTATTTCTGATAAATAATGCTGAAACGTCCTTATACGAAGCTTTTATACCCCATTCCACTTTTAGTGCCATTTTCACAGTGGCTACCTACGTGTATAATATGTATGTATGTCTTCCGAAGTATAGACTGACACGTAACCTCGAGATTATTTTCGTAAAAATAACCAACTGAGTCAATGAATGCCCGAAACCCCGAACAGCACTTCGGTGAGCTAGGATATCACCACCACCAGAGCATCCA